CTAGGTTTAGTCCCGATAGGAGTTCTAGGCACAGTTAGAGATCTTTTGATCCCACTAGTGAAGGCTTAACAGGATGGTCGTTGGACACTCTTCCTTGCCTCCACCCCTTATTTAAGTATAAAAAAAAATGAATTGAAAGAGTGGGTCGATTGAAAAAAATTAGGCCACATTGATCCAAAGATTCCAAATTAATTGGATATAATTTGAGATCCTTAATATATATATATTTTTTTGGTTTTTTGAATGGGTCCTACTAATTTAGTAACTACCCAACGAAAATGACTACCAAATGGACTCATCTCACATAATCGTAAGTTTATTATTAACTAATAATTAACTATAATATCATAATGTCATTATTACATCAATTATTTATTCAAGTTAATAACCCGTGAGAGTGAGTTTCTTGAATTGAATTGCTTAATTCAAGAGGATGTCTAATGGCTCAACCTAATGAGTTTGGGTTCAATTCATGAATTTATCACATACCATAAATTTAAGTGAAATTTATTGCATGTATATTGATCTCTTATTAAAACATTAGTTATTGCTTGTGCCTGAAGGCACAAAGTAATAAAAAATGATAAACAATAAATATATTTGTATTTATATTCAAAATTAAATTATAATCATAAAGGAAAGATAAATGAATTTAAGAATCGATTGTAGTGGGGGTGAAAGGTGATGGGCGACAGTGGTTGTGGCGATAGCGGTGGCGGTGGTGGTAGAGGTGGTGATGGCAGCGATGGTGGATGCGGGGACAATGACGGTGGTGATCGGGTGGCGGCGCGGCAGTAGTGGCAGCGACAGCAGTGGCGGTGGTGGTGGTGGCGGCGGCGACGGCGGTGGTGGTGGGGGTGGCGACAATGGCAGTGGTGGTAGCGATGGCGACAAAAGTGGGGGTGGTGGTGGGGGCGGTGGCGGTGATGGTGGTGGTGGCGATGATGGTGGTGGCGGCGATGACGACAACAATGGTGGTGGGGGTGGCGGCGACGACGACAGTGGCAATGAGGGCGGTGGTGGTGGTGGGGCAGCAGTGGCGGTGGGACGACGGTGGAGGTGTTGGTGGGGATGGTGGCGGTGGTGGTGGTAAAGGTAATGGCAGTGGCGGCGACGACAACGACAGCGACAGTAATAGTGTTGGTAAAAGTAATGATGAGGTGATTTCAAACACTATTTTTTTTAAAGTACTTATGAGAAATAATTCATAAAAGTACTTTTAAAAAGTAATCCCACACACACCCTCAGAGCCTATTGTTCCTATTAAATTTAAGGTGTTAATATTATCAGTTAGATTAACTTTATGGTAAAATTTAAAACGATCTAAACCACAAAAAATAAAAGTCATTTTGTTTATCTTTTAAAATTTGAATTTTAAACTACTTTATTATATAAACTAGTTATTGTCTGTGCTTGAAGGCACAAAATAATAAAAAATAGTAAATAATAAATATATTTGTATTTATATCCAAAATTAAATCACAAACATAAGAGAAGAGATAAAATAATTTAAGCATCATTTTGTAGTGGGAGTGAGAAAGGTGATGGGCGATAGTGGTGATGGTGGTAGGAGACGGTGATGGTTGTGGTACGTGGTAATGACTGTGGTGGTGGTGGTGGCAATGGTGGGGATGGGGGTCAAGGGTGGCCATGATGGCGGTGGTGGCGGTGGTGGTGGGGGTAGCGCTGGTGGTGAGGTGGGGGTGGCAACGGTAGTGGTGGCTGTGGCAGTAGTGATGATGGTGGTGGTGGTGGCAGTGGCGGTGGCAGCGACGATGGCGGCAATGGTGGTAGAGGTAGTGGCGAGACGATTTCAAACACTATTTAAAAAAAAAATTGTGAGAAATAATTTTTAGAAGTACTTTTAAAAAGTCACTTCAAACACACCCTCAGAGGTCTATTTTTCTATTAAATTTAAGGTGTTAATATTAACCGTTAGATTAACTTTAAAGTAAAATTTAAAGCGATCTCAATTGCGAATAGCAAAAATTATTTTGTTTATCTTTTGAAATTTAAATTGTAAGCTACTTTATTATATAGATGTTTAATAATTAATTATGGAGAAAAAAAACTATTGTAGTAGATCTAAATTCCAACTAGAGATGCCGCTTGGATTAAATAAATACAACAATTAAGAAAAAACAAAAGTTAATGCAAAATAATTTTCTTATGTGAAGAAATGAAGAATCACATTAATAATCCAACTCTTGGTTGGTCTTTGAAGCCACTAGAGGAAGTAACAGAATCACATTAAAGGCATGTTTGTTTCAAGTATTAGATGGTAGGGAAAATTTCATCAATACCTCCTCTAGTTAGGCATAAATTCAAAGACACCCTCTTTCCATTCTGAATCTTCACTACACTCTCTTTTGGTTTACACTATTAAATCAAAGACATCCCTTACCGTAACTGGTCGTTGCTGACAATCAGAAAAATGATGATGTCATACCAATTTTTTTATGAAATGCCAATTTTATCTTTCTTATTCCACATGAAACGCTTGTCCCTCTCTCTGTCTCTCTCTCACACGCCTCAACAAACTCAATCACCTAACTGAAAAAACGTGGCAATGAATCCAAGTCACTGGTCCTAGCATAAATTGGTGAAGAATAATATAAAAAATTCAGTGCTATGAATTGGTGACACTGCAAAAAAAATAAAAAATCGGTGACACCGTACACTTAAACATAATATAAGAAAAAAAATTCAAAATAACTTTTTAAAAAAATTGGTAATATCGTACCCTTAAACAAAATATAAGTAAAAAATTTAAAATAATTTTTTTTTAAAAAAAAATCGGTAATACTGTATGTTTAAACTTAATACAAAGAAAAAATTTAAAATAATTTTTTTAGAAATTCATTTTTTAAAAAAAAACAGTGACATCGTACACTTAAACATAATATAAAGAAAAAATTCAAAATAATTTAAAAAAAACAAATCAGTAATTCCGTACGCTTAAACATAATACAAAGAAAAATTTTGAAATAATTTTTATAGAAATTTTTTTTAAAAAAAAAAATTGGTGACACCGTACACTTAAACATAATATAAGGAAAAAATTCAAAATAATTTAAAAAAAAAACGGTGACAACATATGCTTAAACATATTATAAGGAAAAAAAAATTCAAAATAATTTTTTTAGAATTTTTTTTAACAAAAAACCGGTGACTTCGTACGTTTAAACATAATACAAGAAAAAAAAATTCAAAATTATTTTTTTAAAAAAAAATCGATGATACGGTATACTTAAACTATATAATATTTATATATAGTTTAATAGTACTGTACATAACACTTGGAAATAGGAATATATATTTATGTATAGTTTAATGAAAAATAATTGATGAATATATAATTCTTTATAAAATTAATGGGTAAAATGGTAAAATGTCTATTTCTGTCACATCTGTTAGCCGATCAACATTGACAAGGGAGGTCAGTGAAATTTCAGAAAAGACAAGGGGTATCGTTGAAGATAGACTTATTTAGAGGGGGTGTTAATGAAATTTTTCCTACATGGTATTATAGGGTGGGATAAAAGAAAATAGTACGTGGAGCTCACTTAATACTTTGTTTGTTTGGCATTTTGCACCCAATATTATTTTGCGAGTAGTAATATCGACTCTGCTTGAACAGTATCCAAAATGTCTTGTACATGATATTAATAAATACCACCTACCCGGTGATATTATCTTCCCAATACAAATGAAAGGGCGGTATAAACGAGTAAAATGAAACAAATGTCTTCTTATGTGAAGAGTTCACATATAAAAAATTTATTTTGAATTTTTTTATTGTATTATATTTAAGTGTACGATGTTATCGTTTTTTTTTTAAATTATTTTAAAATTTTTTCTTATATTATGTTTAAGTGTACGATGTCACTGATTTATTTTTAAAATTATTTTAAGTTTTTTTCTTATATTATGTTTAAGCGTACGATGTCACCGGCTATATATATATATAATATATATATATATATATATATATATATATATATATATATATATATATATATATTTATTTTTTTTTTTCCCTATATTATGTTTAAGCATATGGTATCACTGATTTTTATTTTTTATTTTTTTTATTGTGTTACGGATTCATAGTATTAGATTATTTATTATACTAAATGTTGTGTAAAAATATTACACCAACGGAGTAATGAAATAAAAGATGTTAAGGATAAAATGATATATTTGTTATATAAGATATGATAGAATAGATGATTGTTTATGAGACCCACTGTAACACCTATTGAACAAACAAACAAGGAGAATAATGGATTAAAAGTTTAAAATTGGGTATAATATCCCATTAAATAGAAATATAATGGATATCATTTACAATACCATCAAAATCTAATACTTGCAACAAATATGCCATAATAGTCATTCTCAATACAATCATTGCTCAACCCTCTCCAGATCGTTGCAACAAATATGCCATAATAGTCATTCTCAATACAATCATTGCTCAACCCTCTCCAGATCGTTCTGACATAGTTTGAATATGGTTCCATATGTCATTAATATTACATTAAAATTGATTATATTAATAAATTTTAATTTGAATAATTTATAACAATTGATTGTAAAATGAAAAGGTAATTGTAATTAATAATATAAAAAATTATGTGTGTCATAAATTTATTAAAAAATAAATAAAAAAAAATAAATATTTTTCTATATCATTGTCGAACCGATAGAACATATCCGCAACAGTACTATTATATATAAATTAACAAGATTCAATCCCCACTGGCCCTAACTCAATTCAACTCCACTTTCTGTTGAATATGGGTGGATTCAATAAAAAAATATTTAATATTATTTATTTATATATGATATATATATATATATATATATATATATATATATATATATTAAAATTAATATAATATATAATTTATTATATATAAATTAATAAATAAATTAAATATAAGTTAAATATTTTTAGACATGAACCTAAAAAAAAAACCGAGAGAAACTGGTCTCTCATCCGGCACAATTGAGAGAGAGACCTAATTGTATGTCTCCTAGAACCTCCACTCATACCCAATCAGTCTATAAATATCAAAACTTACCTAAACCTTCAATCACCAGTCTCCACTTTTATACTGGTATATTGATAGCTCTGTCAATTGCTCAAGTCTTCTTTTAACAGGATGGTATTGCAGACAATTGATCTTTTGAAGAATGAAATTCCTCTGGATGAGGAATCAGTGGTTATATCTGAAGATAACAAGACTGGTTTAGTTCTTGTGGACATTATCAATGGCTTCTGCACCGTCGGATCTGGAAGTCTGGTAATTCTTTTACTCCTTGGTTGCTATCAATTGCTTTGTAAACAAGTTGGGTTTTATGGGAACTTGTAGTTTTTTGGGAGAGAGAATTGTATTGTGCTCAACAATTCTAAAAAATTACGATTCAAACAAGCAAAAAATGACGACTTGATGAGGTTTATCAAAGGTAAGATGGATCTAACATATATTGGAATCAATCATAAGTTTTTGAAATCGATGATCGACTTCGTTTAACTTGATCCATTTGAGTCGTAGCTCATAGTTCAAATCACAGTTTCAGTCATGAATAGGAGAGCAAACAGATGGATCGGCCGTGGTTTCGTTTGGGGTATATGACAGTATGCACAAAATGATAGATTGAAAAAGTTAGGCATAACAGGAGATTTGGGCCATTCCGTGGTATTGCAGAAATGTGTGGAGTGATTGTTTGTTAAACAATTATCTACTCCAATATGTCCACTCACATGGAGATTAGATTTTAGGTCTAACTCGTTAAAACTTTTTTAATAATTCGAATGTGGGCGAGATTCAAACACAAATTTCTTGTGCTGATATCGTATTAAACAATCATCTATTCCAAATGTTTAGATCCCAATGGTCTAGCTTATACATGATGAGACATGTTGATGTAAAAATACTAAAATTACACCCTCTTTAACAATTTAAGTTTTTACATGAAAGAATTGTTTAACATGATGTTGCAAATCGATGACGATACGTTGGATGACTTGACAGATTTGGTGGAAATGTCGAGTGAGATTCGTTGTTTATACAAATCGTACAATAATTCTTTGAATATTGTCGTAAATTGTAACTTGACCTGCTTGAATCATAAGAACCATAATTTTTTGTAACACAGTATGAAACTTTTTTTTTTTGTTTTTAGGCCCCAAGGGAACCCAACAGGCAGATCTCTCAAATGATTGATGAATCAGAAAGGCTGGCTAGGATGTTCTGTGACAAGAAGTGGCCTGTTCTTGCATTTCTTGATTCTCATCGTCCAGACCAACATGAGCATCCTTATCCTCCTCACTGTCTCATTGGCTCTGATGAATCCAATTTGGTTCCTGGTACTCAATTTCTTCTTGTTCTTCTTCCCTTTCCTCCATCCTATGCAATTCATCATCTCTTAGAAAAAACAAACATATTTGTTAGTATTTTGAAATGGGTTAAATGTGATTTCCATCATATCTGAACAAGGATGAATCCAATATTGAATCTGATAGTCGGATATGCATTGAACCGTGAAGCCAAAATCAAAATAGCTTCAAACTTGAATATAGCATTACCCCACTTGATCCGAATTATTTATGTATATGAACTAATGAAATTGAATTAAAATTTGTATCTAAGTGATTTAAATTCCACTTAATTGAATTACTAGGATCGAATTGGATTTGATACGAGAGATTCAAATATAGGAAAATTAGTCTCTGTGTTTATCAAAATTTTAACCTTGAGAGACAATGTAAGTGATAATAAAGACAAGTTGTAAACTCAAACATTCTAATTTCGAATATGTGCAACTCTTTAGGACCAGACGGGGATGACCTACCTTTGACTGGACCAAAGAAGGAATTAGTTGAGATGCACGAAAGCTGATCTAGACACCCATTATCGTTAAAAAACAAAAAAAACTCTAACTTCTCTCATGTGAATATCAGAATATGATGATGTCTGTCATATGCAGCTCTACAGTGGTTAGAGAAAGAACCAAATGTGACCGTTAGGCGAAAAGATTGCTATGATGGATATTTGGGTTCAATTCAGGAGGATGGTTCCAATCTGTTTGTAGATTGGGTTAAAACCAACAAAATCCAAGTTGTAAGTACTTCTCTATATTTAACTGCTTCTCTAGGCAAACGTCAATTACTTAAATACCCTTCAATCATTTTTCTCAATAATACATCCATCCAACAATATAAATATGTCCCCTAACACTAAAACTTTTATGGGATTTTCTATCATGCCAAAAAGTTTTTGATACTATGTCAAAAATTTATGATGTTACTTGATCAAGTAACAACTCAAATAGATTAAGTTAGGATTGATCCAAAAAAACCTTGAGAGTAATTCTCACTTTTTTGAACCCTAACTTTTTTTTTTTTAAATCCCAATTGTCATAGCAAATCATTGCAATATTTCCCGCTTATGTACCGGATTAATGTTGGACCTTGAGGCGGTTTTGCACAAGGTCCAATATTAGTTCGGTATGTTAGCAATGAATATTGCCGTAATCTATTGAGACCGTTGAGGTATCAAAAGAAAAAAAAAACAAATTATGGGATATCTCTTGATTTTTTTTTTCTTATAATTTGATTTCTTTGGGTCGTAATTCGTTGTAATTAACACTGTAGATTTTAGTATATGCAAGTAAATAACACTGCAAGTGGTTGTTGTGAAGTTATTGGTGGTGGGAATATGCACGGATATCTGTGTGTTGGACTTTGTTTGCTCTACTTTATCAGCAAAAAACAGAGGTTTTCTGGGCCCTTTGGAGGATGTGGTGGTCTACTCTCGCGGCTGTGCCACCTTTGATTTTCCAGTCTCCGTCGCCAGAGACACCAAAGACGCCATAGCTCATCCCCAGGTAATTGGTACCAATATGGTCTCCAGATTTAACATTTGATACTTTTTTTTTCCAATCCTATTATAGCTCCATGTTGCTCCCACTGAAGGTCTTCTCAATAACCCAGGCGTCTAGTTTTTAGAAACCCACAAAAGATGCGGGTACCATAGCGAAATTGATCTAGAGTCATAATTTTTGACAGCCAAATGATATTTTGATTTGACTAAAAATGAAAGTACAATATCAAAAAATTACTTTCCAATGTCATAACCAGATCCCACGAACTTCAGCACAATGGCTAGAAGGTTAATTCCTACTTGGGGTCGGCAAGTCATGCCAGGTCCTGTCATTTCCAATTGTATCCTATCAAAATTGCTCAGTTCTTACACAAATCATTTAAAGTAGTGTATTGTATAAGGGACTCTTGTCATGGGAATGTTTAGCAAAGTTGTGTATAATCAAATTCATATAAATTCATTATAAGGCGGGCTATCAAAGATTGTGATACAAGCCTCAAACCTACTAAAACTAGACTCAAACCTTCGTGTCATGTTTGATGGATTGTACTATAAGTATCGACATTACTCCAAATCACTCCTGACATATAGTGGCTTGGACGTCAAAGCACATCGTCTGGTCTCTGCTAAGCTATGGTGGTAACTAAGAAATGTCAAGGAAGCATATAGGTTCCAAAACCCTTCTGACTTGCAATAACTTTTGAGCCTGAAGACATATTCGAACAAGGAATTTATAATCGCATTATTGGTATGTTTCTCTTGTGGCAGGAGCTGATGCACCATATGGGTCTGTACATGGCCAAAGGCAGAGGAGCAAAGATAGCAAAACAAGTGTCTTTGGGTGCACTGAACAAACCTTGATGAAAGATAAACTACTACTTCTACTCGTCTGTGGTCTCCTATGGCTCTTGTACTGGCGAACGAAGTTCAAGATTTCAGAATGTAGTAATAGCAACTTTGTAGCATGACTGGGATCAGTACAAGGTTCCAATGTAACAATAATAATCCTTTATGTTTATGTCACTAAATAAAAACTGTGTAGTAAGATCGATCTTGATCTTCATTCATCTGTGCTAGTCCATACTACTATTTCCCATTATTTGAATAGCACACTGCAACCCATAAATGAAAGCAATAAATGACTTATTTTTAGATCCATTATTAAAAGAAAACAATTTCCTTTAAAATGGTGTAATTGACAGTTCATAATCGTGCAAAAATAGACCGTTGTTGCTGAAAAAACTCATTTTGAGTGGATCAGAATCATCCAGCATACAATGAAAGAGAAGTTATTTACAAGGCAAGGATTAACATGCAGTATTAAAATCAAAGGCAGATGAATTGATATAAAATGAAAAGTACCTTATTTTCGGGACAGAAAAATTCTGAAGAAGGAAGCATAAATGTTGTTTTCTGATAAATAAAAAAAAAAAGAGGGCCACAATAAAGCAAACAAGAAGTTTAAGTTAGAACTCGGGAGAAAGGGGGGGGGGGGGGGGGCTACATCCAAAGTACACACATAACACACAGGAATAAACCTGAATGCAAGGACTAAACAATGCACTTGCACTAATACATCCAATGCGTCTCAATGAGGAAAAGCAAAACTTTTCCCAGTAGCAGTGTCATTTAGTCCATTAAAACACTCTAATAAACTCTCTGCAGCTTCAAGGATTTCTGCGTTTACTTTGAATTTCACAATATGCTGAGTGTCTGCTACCATAACAAGAGCAGAGATAACCTTGGATTTCCATAGTATGGCAGAATAAACATACACATACATCCAAATATAAGAAATATCACACAACTATTCAGTACAAAGGACATATAAATTAGCTTCGCTTGGTATTTTTAAGGTGGAAACGAAAGGAAATTCACTGATTCAAATCTCTGGTATGAGGGTATGGGAAAAAGCAAAAATAGTAGCAGACATGACAATTCACCTCAAAGCAAAAGAGCACATAACAATATTGCAATCACTGTCAAAGATATGCAATTGAAGAGCCGTATCAAATGGAATTTCATTCCGACGAATCAAAAAAGATATAATCATCATAAATAGTAATATCTAGGTCCAAAACTTGATAACAACAGGAACAGGTTACATATCAAAACATAAAAACTTGAGCTAACACCTCATTCCTTGCTTGTAACCAAACACAACTCCTCTACTAGGATGCGGCATCATCATTGCCATTAGTCAGCCTTCTTCCTGAAGGAACACCCTTCTGTTAGTCGGGCACGCCCACCAGTTGGCTGGCACAAAACCGTCTGACAGTTCCCACATACCACAACTGTTTGCGAGTGACTGAACACTGTGGTTCTGCACATATGTAATTTCACTTGAGTAAAACATTGCAATCAAAAGAAGTAATTCACACCATAAACGAAATGACAACACCACAGTGGAAGAACTTACATGTTGAAGCAACCCTGGCACTTCACATCCTATAAAAGAACATATTACTCAGCAAAATTGTTTTGATATCAACGGCAATTTATTCATTGTAAAGTCCGAAATAAACAAACTATATTTTAATTAATGTACATATGCATATATAGAAATAAAGAGTTTGAAACTTATTTACTCAAATACCATAATTTTAAACTTTTTTACCAAACTATCGTTATTTTTTAAAAAAGGGTAAATTACACAACCCCCTCAAATTTGGTTTTATCACACAAACACCCTTGAAATTTTAGAAATCACACTAAGACCCACTAGAGTAAGTAAGAGAACTTACCCCTATCATAAAACCGATAATTATAAAATTCCATTACTACCCAATTAACAGGGAAAAGCTAGATCTACATCTACCCTACCACCTATTAAAATAAGAATTACCCACATTTGCCTATGATAAATAATACTTCCTTAATTGAATCATTAATTACAATTTATTCATTCATTATATTTATCTATTAGTTACTTCAACTAAAATCAATAATTTATGTCCAATAATCCACCCACCACCAACCATTGATCCACTCCCTTGTCTTAGCACCTCTCTTCCCTCCACAACCACTGTTCTCCATGACAACCAAAACCTCTCTTCATTACTAATTTCACTTTTCAGACGCACACAGTGCAAAAACAATGCCACCACCATCTGTAAATCACGACCCACCACTAGTCATCTACAAACCATCGACCATCACACATAACCAAATCAAATTAAACAATCACCCACCACCACCACAATAGCCTCAATTTTTTTGATTTTTCAGATACGTAAATCTGTGTCTCAATTTTCAATTTTTGGGTGAGGGGTTTTGTGTTGGATGAAGAAAGACGAGAAGGACTAGGGATCTTGTAGCGGGTGGGGGAAGGTGCAACAAGATGAGGGTAGCACGAGATGTAGCTAGGTAGGGGAGTTGGTGGGGATGGTGGTTGGGTGCAACGGGTTAGGGTGGGACGAAGTTTAGTTAGGTGGGGGAATTGGTGGGTATTGTGGTTTGGTGGTGGTGGTGGGGGTGGGGGAAGGGCGATCTATGAGAAAGAGATCGCGGAGGCAAAAGGACAGAGTCGTTCCAATATCAAAGGGGGAGGGGGGAGGGGAAGGGGCGTTGTGGCAAAGAAAAGGGAACTTATGACTTTGTTGAGGTTGTCTAGTTTGATAGATAGAAAAGGATGGAGTAAGAAGACAATTAGGATAATTGTTAGGGTTGGGGTTTGGGTTAGCGTTTGTGAGTGTGTCCATGGGTTTAAATTTTTTTACTTTATTTATTTTGACCCAATCAAAGGGAGGAGTGGGTTGGGTTTTTGTTGGGACCCGTCAAGTATGGCCTGGATACATTTCTAGTTATTTAGTTATCCTCATTTAGTTAATGAAAGGGGCAAAATAGTCTTTTTATCAACACTGTGTACTCCACATAACCATTAGGGTGTCGATGTAAATTTTGAAATGTAAAGGGGTGTCAGTGTAAGAAAAATAAATGTTTGGGGGTGCACAATAATTTACCCTAAAAAAGTTCCAAAGCAAAAGTACATTTTGAAATCATACTTTCGAAGCAAAACCTTTAAGTTTGTTTTCAAAACACTTTTGCATTGCAAAGCGTGTTATGAAAGTGATAGTAAATAAGTCAAACACTACAGTATTTGGATAAATAAATCTCAAAATAACACTAGTTGCACAATAAATTCTAGAAATAATATATACCATGAAGAACGAGTTAGGCGATTGGACCAGACGCTTTAGCTTGTGCTTCCTCTTCTCGAGCTCAGCCGGAGGATTCAGCAAATCAATATCGTTGGAGAGAACCTAATTCATGATCATAAACAAGAACAAAAACACAAACAATCACCAAATATATCGAATTAGAGTAAACACCAACCAAAATCAGATGGAGCAATTCAGAGCCTTTCGAAAATGGGTCTGTCTTCTGTAGGCCAAAAGGCATAGTCTTCCCATAATATTTAAAGCCAATACGTTAGAATGCTTTCCATAAGGAAATGACACAATTAGAAATACACTGTATAGTATTCAAAACACTACAGAGAAGTACAAAAATAGAATTTAAGCAAGAAAATGCTCAGAGGTCCACAGGAACTGGAGTTCCATTGCATCTTGACAACGATGGTGATTGTGATCATCCTAAAATAAGGGGAAAAACACAAAGGGGTAGAAATCGAAGTAGAGAGAATTTGTTCACGTTTCAGATCTATTAACATTGACAGTGCAACAAACTTGCATCATTGCATCTATATTTGTGTGTGTGTGTGTGTGTGTGTACAATTCTGTATAAAGACAGTAAGATTTTAAGGCCAAGAGAGTAAAAGAAAAGCTATAAAGCTCACCATTTTCGTTATCAAAAAAAGTCTTCGAAGAAGAGAAGAACAGCAAACCGTAGGAACTCGGAGCCTTTACAGAAGACGAAAAGAACAGCAACCCCTAGAAACTCTGTGGACAGTGTGAGAAAGATAATTGCGAGGGCTATATACCGTTATCTGGAGAAATTTAGGCCACCAGATCAAAGAGGCGTCACGATCTCAGCCATTTAATTCGTCTTTCGCGAGGTATTTAGGGCACATGTTGGGGAGCCCGAAAAATAAAAGGCTGAGCCGATTCTTTGGCCCATGGTTACGAGATTGGCCGAAGAGGCCCGTCACTATTCTGAATCTGAACCTGGGCTAGAAACAAAGACAACGTTATTTTAGGTGGTGTTAATAAAATTAAAAAGTAAAGGCCGAAAACTAAATACTGAATTTTAAGTGTTGAATGACGAATAAACTTGTTAATTTGTAAACTGTTTGGTTTTCATAGAAATTTAAGAATTAAATTAAATCAAACTGTTTGATAAGTATATAGACGAGAACTCTGAAAATAAATAATTGTTCAATTTTATCCTTCAACTATTTACTTTGAAAATATTTGTTAAATATTCATCTATCTAATAAAAAATCATACAATACTACTAAAATATGAACAAATAAATAATTAACCATATGCAAGGAGAGAATAAAATAATGATAAATTGAACAATAGGAAACAAATATCCAAAAAAAAAAATGAACTAGTATATATATTGTGTGTGTTAATCTGCTTGTGTGTGTTGTGTGAATTCATGAAGGTTAGTGTGTGTTGCTCTGTGTGTTTGTGAATATGTGTGTGCTAATATGCTTGTGTGTTAATTTGTGTTTTGCGAGTGTTGCTACAGGAGGAAGAATGGACGAAGAACATATCTGATGCAGTTTGGACTTTCTTGGCAGAGGCGACGAAGGAGTAGAGGTGAAAAAATTAATTTATTAATTTATTTTCAGACGTCAGCTCTATGTAGTTATCAAACAATTTAGTTCAATTTAGTACTTAAGTTTCAATGGATATCAAACAGTCTACGAATTCAATATTCAACATTCAATTTTCTGACTTCAACTTTCAGTTTTTAGACATCAGTTTTCTAACTGTATCTGGTATGCCCTTCAGAATGTGCTTAAGTCAGGGGACATCGCGCCCGTTAAGAATGACACAAAACTTTTGCCAATTAATAATATCATTAAAGGGCAAATCATAATAATTTGACAGGATCACCGCAAAACAGTGGAAAACTATTTAGAAAAAGTAAATAAAACTATAGAAGGCATCTACATGGTCACTATGCTTTCACGAGACACAATTTTTTTTCAAGTTTCCTAAAATATCACAAGGGAGAACAAAGAAAAAGAAACTTCAATTAGACACAAGCTGAAAATGTTCAACATTTTGAAACTCATACTATGTTTTCTATCCAACTAAAGGGTAAACCATTCACATAGAGCATCACAGACCAAGGTAGATTTAAAGGAACGTGGGACCTCGAGTGGTAGAAAAAATATAGTTACATAAGTTTTAGTTATGCAGTAGGTGTGGTGCATTCTGCTTTTAATTGTTTACATGTGAGCAGGTGGTGGATTCCGTATGGAGGTGTGTCCATAGCAAAGTCAAATGATAGGATAGAAATTACAAAAAATAAAATAAATTAATTAAAAAAGATGTAAGGTTATTTTTTTTGTGTGTATGAGTGTTTTTTTTTTGGGGGGGGGGGGGGGGTAAAGAATAACTGCACATATGAGTTTTCAATTCATGAAATTTAGACTTATTTGAAACATAACCTCAATCTACATATTGTGATGAAGGTAATCTGACACACAGTTGACTGGACTTGTAGCTAGGAATTAAGGATCAAACATTTCTGCATCAAATTGGTCAAATAAGCATGAAAAATCAATGAAATTTAGTTCATACACCCACATCATGCATGTGTACATAAATGCTTGTGAGAATGGGTAATGCAATCTCGCTTTGGCTTTTTGGTAAAATATGTGTGCATTGATATATCATTTGCAATGTTTTGAACTTGATTGTGTATAGCAGTCATTTACCAGGAATGCATCCGTAATGAAGTTCTCTTGCTACACATGCACCATGGACTTGTGAACCACCTGGGCATATGCAGAACTTTGCCTGACAGAATTTCTTTTCGTATTTCAAATGTCCGGTCGTGCTATCTACAGTGCTGTTATTAATATCAAAATCTGGAACGTCCATCCATAATCGCACGCACCAATTCATTTCGGATATCTGAATTGCAAGGGCCTGTCCAGAAGCCAAGAATTGTTTCTTGGATGTATTATTTCTTCGGAAGAAAAGTAGTCCAAGAGGCACTTCATTAATTTCAGTAAAGTATATCCTATAAAAAGCAAAACAAAAGGTAGCCTTAGTTAGTCAACTGTTTACCCATACTCCTTCTCAGGTTGTTCCGTTAGCATTCAGATATCCTCAGATGGAAAAACCTATACCCACTGAATTTTCAGCTCTGAAAGTTTGAATGTATTTTCAGCTTGATTGTACGAAATCACATATTGTTCATATCTATTGATGGGTTAAGCCCAAGTAGTCCAATTTATGTATTAAAGCCCAACCCCGGTTGAGGAGCCCAACCTCATCGTGAACCCACCAAGTCCAAGACAGACTAAGACCGGCTAGACTTCTTGCTTAGCACGTCACCAAGAGGAGAGCACGGTTGGACTTCTTGCTTAGCACGTCACCAAGAATAGAGCACAAGAAGCTTATCAACGGTCCAATCTTTGGCCACGTTTCCTTCAAGAGTTCCCCAAACTCTTCCTCCCGTTGAGAATAAGTCGTGATCTCCACCGAAGATAATCTCTAAGCTGCGATAAAGAAGCCTTGAGGATATGTTATGATCTCCACAAGAATGATCTCTTATCTACTATAAAATGGCTCTAATCTGAAAGAGGAAGGACACATGCTCCATCAGAGACTTTCAGAAGACGAACCGACTACCGGAGATTATTGTTTTCTTTGATTCTCCATTCCCCCTCTCAAAGCTTGTATCTCCGTTCTCCATACCTTTGAATCAAAAAAATACCCGGCGACCGAAGCCATTGAAGAGTGGACGTAGGTCGAATTGACCGAACCACTATAAATTGTGTCTTCTTTAATTTTCTCATTGATTTCATTGCATTTATTATCTATACTTGACAGGTGGTGTGCAAAACCATTTTTGTGCATCATCAGTTTGGCGCCGTCTGTGGGAATCGACAAAATTCTCACTCCTGAACATTACATCCATTAACTAATGGCGATCACTACTCGATCCATGAACCAACACGAAAACAATCCTCCACGAGAGGACGAGGTTGCTCCCCCGCCTATCAACCCTGTTCCGGATACTCTAGCCCCGAATCTCCAACAAATATTGGAGACCATGCAGCAACTGGTTGCTCAAAACCAACAGTTACTGCAACTCATACTTGCTGGACAAGGAGGAGCACCACACGGAGGTGCACAACATGGAGGACCCCAAGGTGGAGCACCACACGGAGGTGCACAACATGGAGGACCCCAAAGTGGAGCACCACACGGAGGTGCACAACGTGGAGCACCACACAGAGGTGCACAACGTGGAGCACCACATGGAGGTGCACAACATGGAGGGCCCCACGGAGGTGCACAACATGGAGGACCCCAAGGTGGAGCACCACACGGAGGTGCACAACGTGGAGCACCACACAGAGGTGCACAACGTGGAGCACCACATGGAGGTGCACAACATGGAGGGCCCCACAGAGGTGCACAACATAGAGCACCCCAAGGAGCTCCACATCCTGGACATCAAGGAGCACCACGCCCTGTTGCTCCACGCCCGGGTGCCCTATTGGGCACCCCACTTCGGAAAGCCCAACATGAGGGAGCTGCATCTCCCCTCCCCTTACTTTCCAGGGAGAGGACCCTTATCTCCAGGAGGATGAGGGTGAAAACCAAAGCATGGGGCATGGAAGCCACTTCCATGATCATTCCAGAGGAGCCCCCAATCATTGGGACGAGAAGATAAAGGAGGTACAGAATCAACTCGGTGATGTCTTCAATGCCATGAAGGCACAGGGACCCGAGACTGTTGACCACCTGGTAAGGCGTACTGATACCCCTTTCAAACCTGATATAGCAAACTACCCCCTCCCTCAGAAGTTCAAAATGCCATCTGTGGAGACCTTTGATGGAACAAAGGATCCACTGGACCACCTTGACACTTACAAGACCTTGATGCAATTGCACAACGTACCAGACGAAATCATGTGCAGGGCATTCCCAACCACATTAACAGGGTCTGCGCGACAGTGGTTTGCTAAGCTCTCCCCCGCCTCTATTACCTCTTTTGCCGAGCTTAGCAGATCATTCGTCTCACACTTCATAGGAGGGCGTCGCCACCAGAAGCCAGTTACGCACCTGCTTAGTATAAAGCAGGACCGCAAGGAGAGCCTGAGGAGTTATCTCACTCGTTTTAACGAGGAGGTACTCCAAGTTGATGAACCCGACGACAAGGTGACGATGACCGCCTTCTTGGGTGGCCTCCGTTCATCAAGTTTCCTTTTCTCGGTTCTGAAGCACCCACCGAAGAGCATGCCAGAACTATTCACAAAAGCTCAAAGATATATGAATGCTGAGGAAATCAACAAGTTTAGGCAAGGTGAATCATCTCACAGATCACCAGAAACTTGACCTGCCTCTGCACTGTTCTCAAACAGGCAGTCTATCTCCGGCTTAGCGGCTCTCTCACGGGTCGCTAAAAAACTTAGCCTCTGCACTGTTCTCAAACAGGCAGCCTATCTCCAGCTTAACGGCTCTCTCGAGGGCCGCCGAAAAAAAAAAAAAAAAAAAAAACTTAGCTTCTGTACTGTTCTCAAACAGGCAGCCTATCTCCAGTTTAGCGGCTCTCTCACGGGTCGCCAAAAACTTGGCCTCTGCACTGTTCTCAAACAGGCAGCCTATCTCCAGTTTAGCGGTTCTCTCACGGATCGCCAAAAAACTTGGCCTCTGCACTGTTTTCAAACAGGCAGCCTATCTCCAGTTTAGCGGTTCTCTCACGGATCGCCCAAAAACTTGGCCTCTGCACTGTTCTCAAACAGGCAGCCTATCTCCAGTTTAGCGGTTCTCTCACGGATCGCCCAAAAACTTGGCCTCTGCACTGTTCTCAAACAGGCAGCCTATCTCCAGCTTAGCGGCTCTCTCACGGGTCACCAAAAAAAAAAAAAAAAAAAAAAAAAAAAAAAAAAAAACTTGGCCTCTGCACTGTTCTCAAACAGGAAGCTTATACCTCAAGCTTAAAGACTCCCTCATGGGTAGCCAAAAGCTAGGTCTCAAAAAGTGTAGCTCTCTCACGAGCAGTTCTCCAACTCTGTCTTTGCTCTCGCGCAAGCAGCCTACTTCTCTCTCTCTCCAGGTAATTATGTGAGATATTTTAATGTTTGGAATAATATTATTTTTGTCATCACAAGTAGGTTCTCCCGAGGCAGCCCCAGGCTCACCCAAAGCGCCCAGCACCTGGAGAAGGGCTTGATTATCAAGAGCAGCACCCAAGGGTTCCTTACTACTTGCAATGTCTAGCCCAACGCCTAGAAATGTGTCTGACTGCTGTTGCTCGTCAAAACAAAGTTGCCCAGTAGCTTGAAGGGTGTCTGGCCCTTCAAAATTGCGCAAAGCAGAATTTTCGGCGCAAAAATCAGCACCTAAGGGGCCCAAATCAGCGCCTCGAGTGGGAATCGGATCAGCCTGTGCTCCCAGGCCACTGCCTAGCTCTCCCTGACGAACCTCGGACTGCGCCCCTTGATGAAAAAATGCTGCTGCCCAGCGTTCCAAAGCCGCCCAGCGCACCTGGGCTGTCCAGGACAGTAAGGTCAGCGCCCAGGCAGCTGCCCAGTGCGCCTGAGCTGTCCAGGATGTGAGGAGCAGAGCCTAGGAAGCCGCCCAGGCCCCCAGCGCCTGCGCTGCCCAGCTGCGTGCGCGCCTGCGCGCCCAGCGCCCAGCGCCCGCGCCCGCCTGCGCGCCCGCGCGCGCCCAGCGCCCAGCGCCCGCGCGCGCCCAGCGCCCAGCGCCTGCGCGCCCGCGCGCCTGCGCTGCCCAATCGCGCGCCCAGCCGTCTCCCTTTCTTCAACCTCCACCACTCCCTCTTCAAAATAAAATGGGAAAGATTTGAAGTTTAAAAAAAAAAAAAAAATGTAATCAATGCCTCCTTCTCCAAGTCTCCTTGGACATGGGGCATTGGGGGGGGCAAATGATGGGTTAAGCCCAAGTAGTCCAATTTATGTATTAAAGCCCAACCCCGGTTGAGGAGCCCAACCTCATCGTGAACCCACCAAGTCCAAGACAGACTAAGACCGGCTAGACTTCTTGCTTAGCACGTCACCAAGAGGAGAGCACGGTTGGACTTCTTGCTTAGCACGTCACCAAGAATAGAGCACAAGAAGCTTATCAACGGTCCAATCTTTGGCCACGTTTCCTTCAAGAGTTCCCCAAACTCTTCCTCCCGTTGAGAATAAGTCGTGATCTCCACCGAAGATAATCTCTAAGCTGCGATAAAGAAGCCTTGAGGATATGTTATGATCTCCACAAGAATGATCTCTTATCTACTATAAAATGGCTCTAATCTGAAAGAGGAAGGACACATGCTCCATCAGAGACTTTCAGAAGACGAACCGACTACCGGAGATTATTGTTTTCTTTGATTCTCCATTCCCCCTCTCAAAGCTTGTATCTCCGTTCTCCATACCTTTGAATCAAAAAAATACCCGGCGACCGAAGCCATTGAAGAGTGGACGTAGGTCGAATTGACCGAACCACTATAAATTGTGTCTTCTTTAATTTTCTCATTGATTTCATTGCATTTATTATCTATACTTGACAGGTGGTGTGCAAAACCATTTTTGTGCATCATCATCTATGTTTCACCATGTCTCGTTCTCACTCAACTAATTCGCCCTTCAATTATAGTATTACATTCGACGAGAGCGTAGATCTGACCACACTTGTTTGCTATCCGTGATTTTTGTCAGTGAGTTTTTAGCATTGATCCACCGGTATGGTCAGGTCAATCTGCTATCATTTTCTCCTTTTAGCATTGTCCTATCGGTATAGTCGACATTCTGTGTGTTGATCAAGTTTTGTGCAAAACGGACGACGGATTAATCAGCAAACTCCATTCAGTTAATTTAAGGGAAGAGGACACTTGTATAGATTTTACCAACAAAGCTATTGAAGAAGGGTTGATTGAATGTGAGAAAAGCATTTATGTAAAAATCGGATACATTTGTGAATCCGCTGGCCCTGAGAAATACAATGGCATCAGTCAGGGATTGCAAAGAACTGAGGATCACAAGACTGTCGGCCAATATT